GCGAACTACAGGGTGGCTCCCATAGGAATAATCAAAAATAATAGAAAAAACATTATAATTTTGTAGGAAGGAGGCGTTTTGGTTTTTAATAAGTTAAAAACAACATATTAAATAGGCATACCTGAAAAGGTATATAAACTTCGGCTGACCGAAGGTAACTTCCTTAGTTGTATTATAGTATTTTATAAATTGGTCGTTTATTGGAAAAATTAAAAAAAATAGAAATAGGAAAATAATTGTTTTTCAGCCAAGTCCTGACAGGCCAGTTGACTCCCTGCAGGAAAAATGCGAACTAGTCTGAAAAACAACTAGTTATACAACAAATATAAAGCAACCGGAATTTGTCTGAATGCATTTGGACTACACAGGGTCTAGAAAATTTGTGCTAGTCGAAAAAATGATTAATACAAAACTAGTAAAAAAGAAACTTGTCTCGGACTAGTACCTTTCTGACAAAAAAATTCTTAAAACATGTTAGGGTCTAGTTAAAAGGCAACTGGAATTTAACTAGTTGCAAATTAAACACATATGATCCAAAAATATAGCCTAGAGTGTAAATGTCTTGGGAAATTTAGCACTAAACAAATCAAACACTCGAGGTCCTCGGTTCAATCCCCAGTCTCTGTACATTTTTTTTTGTTTTTTGTTTGCTAGGTGATGTTTTAATTTTATTTTAAACTTTGTTTAATCTGTCCGAGGCAATATATATGTGAAAAATCACTGTTTATGAATTATGTCACACTAAAATTCATAAACCTTGTTAGGGCATTACAAAATGTTATGCGTGTATGGCTCAATCAGTTAGTGTGTCTACAAATCCAAAGGTCCCGTGTTCAAGTCCTAGAGTGGGCGACTTGCCTCATAAAAAGTAAGTTTGTTTTAATTCCATTTAATTATCATTTACTGTATTTGATTACATAATAATTATCAGAAATTCTCTAAGGACCGCGCCTATTGATTGGATACTAAATTAGGAGAGCGTCAAGTTAGGCATTAGGCATCGTCAAGTACTAGTGAAATTCAATCACTTGATGGTTTAGAGATTAATTTTTAGTTTTTCGTGAAAATATTTTTTTGAGTGTATTTTAACAGCTGTAACCATAAATTGGTTAACAGTAGGGGAGTGTAGGGTAATTTGACTAGTAGGGTAATGTGACGAACTCGTCGAATCTCATATATGACGTCACGACAAAAATTCCAAATAAATGTAGTCGTCTCCCCTTATCGTGTCGACAATGTATTTAGAGTAATATTAATAAGAAGTCCCGTTATTTGTTCGTGAGGTAATTTTCGCTAAAAATGTGGTGCGCAAACTAGCAAACCCATTCAATTTACTTGTGGTTCAGCAGTGCCAGAGCAAAGATGAGTGGAAATTAAAATCAGGCAAATATATGCACGTATACATGAGATCTTTATCAACAGTTTTTGGTACCTCGCGTTTTTTTCTTTTGCGCCGTTTGAGAGTGACACCGTTTTTGCTCCAAGTCTACCTTGTAGGGTATCGTGACGAACTTTTTTTAGGGTATTGTGACGAACTTTTTTTATTCAAGAATTTTAACTGTTATCGTTGATTATTTGTAAAAAAAAATATAATAATACCAGATAACATTTACTGCTGCAGTTTTATTGTTGTTTTTAATAGTGACGTCAGTTTAATTTAATTTTAAAAAAATTTGCACTTTGACCATTTTTTTTTTGGAAGTTTGGGTATTATCTTATTACTTCTTTCTTTTCCGTATCGAAAATAACCTTTCCGTAAAGGATGGTTTACACCAAACGCTGTGGGATTTGGCTACGTTGAAATTTCGAATCCAAATTTTTTAGAAATATGCTCAGTAAATGTAAGTAACTTTCTGCTTTTACACTTTTAAAAAATATTGATTTTTGGAGAAGTTACATTAAAGAACAAATCGTTCGTCACATTACCCTACAACTTTTGAAAGTGCAAAAAAAGAAGGGTTCACGCTAAACGCCGAATTTTACAGGGATATGCTCAGTAGATGTAAGCAACTTTCTGCGTTTACACTTTTGAAAAATATTGATTTTTAGAAAAGTTACATTCAAAAAACGAATCGTTCGTCACCTTACCCTACACTCCCCTAACTAATGCAAAACTAGTAGCAAATGGACTAGTTGTTTCCGTCGACAAGCATATGAAAAATGGACCACTTCGTTACAAGGAAATGGACATAACTTTATATAGTTAACCTTCTTGACCCAACTAGTATATTAATAGTCCAAAACTGATTCCGTTTCCTGCAGGGCTTTTTTATCGAATAGTTAAAGTTAAAAATGTTTCGAGCAAGTCTTTGGCATCAAAAAATCAAGTAACTTTGCGATTGTTTCTATAAAAACTGGTTGGATGGATTTAATTCAAAGCAATTGTATATTATAAAGTGTCATTTAAATAACATCCACTAATTTTTATATCCGATACTATCGGCTAATATATCGGTGGCAAAGCGATTGCTGGAACACTATTAAAAAAGGCGTTTTGCGGTAACCACTGTATCTCCTCCAAAAATTATCGGATTTCCATTCTGCTTTTATATTTTGCTTAAGAAAAGAAAAAACCCACCCCTGGAAAGCGCAATTTTTAATTTTTTTTAAGGAATTTGTTTTGCCCTTCCAAAGTCAAAAATGCTTTTTTTACCTAAAAAATTCGACTTTGGGCTTAAAAAAAACTTAAAGTTAAAAAAAATGTAAAAAAACGCTTCCCAGGCGGCGGGTTTTTTATGCAGAAAAATATGCGACAAATTTGAAAACGATCGGTTGAGCCGTTTAGAAATGCCGATGACCACGGACTTTCAAAACGTGGTTTCGAGAAAAACGCACTTAAAGATGCACTTACGTACCTAAAGTCTGAGAGGTTAGGGTACTAATTTTGACATAACTTCTAAAGCTCTTGTCCAATTGACTTAAAAGAAAAAAAATTTTTAAAAAAATTTAAATTCTTTTTTTGCAAGACCCTACTCCCCCTTTTAAGAAAGTCGATAGTTTGAAACAAGGTCACAAGTTTACAAAAAGAGACAAGAAACTTTGTAATTTATTGTTTGATTATAATCAAACCAGAAAGTTTAAATATGAATCCAACCCAAATCTAAGAAAATGGTCAATATACATCTGATATATCTAAACGAGACCCATTGACATAAAGCGTTTGAAGCTCTCAAAGAAGGAAAGTATGCATTTAAAACAGCGGTCGGCACACTCATACAATGACATTTTGTTTTAGATTTGTGTGAGTAAATTGCACGGGGCAGCTCATTAGTGTGTGTGTGCAGACCGCTGTTCTACAGTGTACGTGAGAGGCAGAGAATGGGCAGAACAATTCCCTATGCTCACTTAATAGGGCGCTGCCGACCGCTGATTTAAACTGCAAAGGTATACAAACTTCGGCCTTCCTTCCTTCCTTACCGCCTTTCTTGTTGAAAATAAAAATTGGAGAATAAGACCACACCTTTAAAGATTTCCGAGAAGTATAAATGCCATTTTGTTGTGTATAATTATACCTATCGAAATGTAGAAGACATTTTTGAAATCGGACCATTCATTAAAAAGTTATACGCGATCAAAAAAATGTTATATATCCATCTCCCTCGCACTCCCTTTAGCCGAGTGACGAGTATTATATAGTCGGGACACCAACCCGACTAAAGCGTTCTCTCTTGTTGACTATGTTTTTTAAAATTTGTTTCTCCCTTAATAAAAATACTAAATTGTTTTTAAGTATTGGGTTTGAAAGAGTGTATCTTTTAAAAAACTTTAACATTGAATCAAACCATGAATCCGTTTGCCTCTGAGAGCTCCGGAAAAAAGGCCAATTTCAGCATTTTTCGAACTTTGAGGTCTTTTGCTAAGAATCCTTGCGTCGGGGAACTTTTTGGAAACACACAGTTTAACTTTATAATTCGTAACGAATCCAAATCTAAATTTTTGATGCTGCATAGTGTTATTGTTGATGTGCCTTCAAACAAAGTTTTTATTTTCTTAATAAATGTATTCATTGCCACAATTAATAGAAACTTTTTTAACTGTACCGGTACGTACCGGTACCAGAACCGGAACCAAAATTGAATATTTTACCGAATGAGTCGATTCGGTATAGGACCGGTAACGGAACCGGAACCGAAATAAGATTTAGTTTGATTCCCAGCATCACGGCATTCCTAACAAATAGTCCCCGTTGTCAATCATTGCCCATATCTATGGAATTCGACAACAAAGAGATTTCTCTGATGGAACAACAATTCTCAGAATTAAATCTTAAATATAACTAATTTTAATTATTCATTGTATGCTTTAATTTCGACTTAAAGCGTTTTCATGAGAATATTTTATTGGATTTCTTATACTAATAAAACAGTTTTTTTTCGCACTCCCTTTAGCTGAGTAAGGGGTAACTGATAGTCAAAGTTCTCGACTTTAAAGTTCTCTGTTGTTGCATGTAAATTCTTAAGAGAATCAAGGAATTTTTCGCGAACTTCGGGGGTGAGTCGTCTAAGCTATCTTAACTATCTTATCAAACCTCTTTTGGACCTATTTAGAAATCCATTCACTAAAGGTGAGCTGGTAAACATGGGAAGGGGTCAGAGACAATGACATTTGATTTTATACTTTTCCAAAATCTTTAAAGATGTGGGCGCCAGATACATTTTAAGGTCGTTTAAGGAACTAACCCTTAGTGAAATGTTAAAATAACCTGCAGTAAAACAACTTTTCTTTTTTAAATACTATTTATATATAATTTATTTAAATTATAGAATTATATATTTTGTTGGGGGAAGGTATCGTGAAGGTAAATATTTTGTAATATTTGTTTGGATCATTCATTGAAATCAATCGTACATTACTGCTTAATGAAATAAGTTTTTATCCTTAATATATTTAGGGCTCTGTTTTGCTTCAGTTGTCGTTCATCTAGGGTTGCTTGCATTTAGAACCTTCACGTTTGTCAGCTTGACTTTTTATACACATTTAAAAAATGATTTTACAAAGTGTTTTCCGTTTTTTTGTCTGCTTTTTCAATTGCATAATTCTAAGCACTGTGTTTATTGTTGTACGTTAATATTATCAAGATATTTTGCAATTTTTTTTGTTTTTTTTTAAAATATGTTTTTACTTCCAAATGGCTGATTTCAGCGAACTTACTAATTATAAATTAAAAATTATACATTTTTCATTGTATTTTAAATGTAAACTTAGATTTATACTTTTTTTTTTTTTGTATGATCGTTTTATTAACAGTTTTTTGCTTTAGTTTTTTTTTATTGGGGGAAAAACAAGAACATACAAGGAAAGGTAAATCTACAAGGCGCCACGCGTAATAATGGAAGATTCTTAATGTTTGGGGATATCAGCTCGCAACCTTCAGTAAACAAAAATGTACAAAAGTAAAACGAGAGTTGCCTTCCGTAAGGGGACACCTAAAATAATATGTAAGAAAACTATGCGTGCGCATTATACGAAACTCAAAAGGCGAACACAAAAAGTGAATTAAATTAACAAAAACTAAGAATAGCAGGTAATGATAATGGTAAAATATATTATAAAAATAAAAGAACGTTTAACGAACGAAATAAATGGGCTGAATTGTATAAAAACAAATAGTTGTATTGGTTTGTTTGCGTTTTTTTCTGTTTTACTTAATCAATAATCCCTATGCTTGATTTTTATATCCTTTTTGTTTTGTTTTGTAGTTCATCTTTTTCAAATCTGTTTTACGTTGCGCATGCGTAAATATAGCGATAATTGGTAAATATGTACTACAAAACTTTCAAGTGACTTTACTAAACATAGTAAATACCGTTAGTCGGCCCTCATCGTTTGTTTAGTAGTACATCTTGCGTAAAACACAAGTCGGCTGTTACTGCAACATCTAAAATGTATTCACCCGGCACTTCTTGGACTATCTTTTGGATTATCTTTTGCTCTACCGCGCAGATTGCACCGCCCTCTGCTTGCCCGGCGTCGTCGTGGAAGCCGCGCTCATACTATGACCGGATCCTGGTGTGCCAATCGCAACTGTTTTGGTGCAACGGATGCAGATATAATCGTCGTCCGCCTTGATCTGGCTGCGGTTGAGGCCCACGCAATACATGTGGAACCATTCGTTGCAGCCGCCGTCGCATTGCACCCAATCCACTTCCCGTCCAGTGGGCTTATGACAGTTCTCCGCCCGGCACTCCTCCTCATCGTCTTCCTGTGCGGCCTGCTGAGACCGCTGCGCGTGTTTCTTCTGCCCCACAGTTGAGTTAATACCTCCAGTGGCTGCTCCCTGGGTGCTAGTGGCATTACTGTTGATATTGTTGCTGCTGTTGCTATTGCTATTGCTAGTGCTGTTGTTGTTGTTGTTGTTATTGGTGGCTGTGGTGGAGGTGCGCTTTCGCTTTTTGTGCGTCGAGCCTGGTGTGGGTGTGGTAGCCGTGGAATTGCCACCTCCTGTACTAGAGTTTATATTTCCTCCGTTGGCCTGCTTGTTCTCAGCATCGGCATCCGCTCCCGGAGTTGTAGACGCTGCTGGCGATGCCTTGGCATCGCTCTTGCGTCCTGCTGTCGCCGATCCCTTCTTCCCCGGAGTCTGCTTGGGCGTGTTCTGCTTTTTACGCGGCACAGCTGAGTTGCCGCTGGCGTCGTTGGAACGCCTCTTCTTGTTGCGCCCGCTGTTGCTCGCAGACGCCGTTGGCCCACCACTATTGCTGTTGCTATTGGGACTATTTTGTACCAGCAGACTATCGTTCGAGTCTTCGGCGCCGGATGTGGGCAAAGGATTTGGTTGCTGCTGACGCTGGCGTTGCAGGTGCTGGGCCACTCGATGCATGGCCTCCGCCTGCAGCAACGTGGGCGGCATCGTTTCTAGGATGCGCCACAGCTCGAGCGTCTCATCTAGAGAAACCTCGAGCAAGTCGCCTTCCATCATTAGATCAAGCAAATTTTCAATTTCACTGTCGGACAGAAGCTTGAGGAGATCGGAGTTGATATTGCAGGTTGCGGGGGCGGCGGTACTTGGCTCATCCTCATCATTGCTAAAGTTGTCCTCGACGATCCGAAGCCGACATTCGTCCTCGTCATCATCGTCGTCGGCATCAGACTCCGTGGAACCACTTGCTTCCTTCGCCAGACTGCCCCGACGACGGGGCTTCCGTGGACTGTTGATATTCCCTACCCCAATTCCGCCGCCCTCAGTGCGCCGCTTTTGCTGCTGTTGAGCCAGAATCGCTTCCTGCGCCGCACTCACGTCAGGACTGCTTAGCGCCTTCCTGGCCCGATCCTGCCAATTCATTGCACGCTCCGCCAGGCAGCGCAACGCTTCGTCCTCGGGCAGACGGATAGGCAGTTGCTGTAGCTGAACGAGCAGCGGAAGGATGGTCTCTAGACGCGGTCTCTTCGACCGCACACAGCTGGGACAAAGCCACTTTGGGCGATTAGTTCCGGCTCCGGATCCGCCGTTTGGAATTCCATTTTGATTCGTAGCTGAGAACGGTGGAACGCAATCCTCGTGAAACCAATCGCGGCACAACTGACAATTAAACATGATGTTCCTGAACTCGGACTTACACAAACAGAACATGTCGCGCAACGGGTTTTTGGTCATGTTCTGCCGCCTAAGCTCGCGCATATCTAGCAGCTCCTGTTCCTCCGCGTGCTTGAAGCTTGCCACAATCTCCGCCGGATTTTTCTCCTTCAGAAAGTCATCCTGCAAGAGCAACAGAAACAGAAATTAGAGAAAGGAAAAGTTAAGAATTTAAGTGTCGTGTTTACCTGGAAGCGCGGCTTGAGATCCGAGTCAATATTAATGGCATCCGACCGGGGCATGAGAACCTCCAAAAGCGTGTAGAAGGTGCCCTTCTTAAGAAAGGCACATGCCGTATTGTCCTTCCACTGGTGTGCGCTATTTAGGTGGCCCTGCATTCGGCTCAGCTCCTCCAGCTGGATGGGTATGTTCATGCCGCGTTCAATCATCGCCTCGAGTGTGTGGCAATATGTTACATGGTTGTTCTGCTGCAACTGTTCGACAGCACGGAGCCACTCACGCGCCTTCCGAAGTGCATCTTTCAACAGGCCGTGTGAGGGCACCTGACCGTTTATGTCACCGGCTGATTTCAAAAACTCTTCTATTTCGCCGAGTTCGTGCTGTTGGGTCAGTCGCCGGAAGTACTTGGCCGCCTGCGACTCCCAGGCTTCGATATCTGCCCCAATCTGCTGTAACTTTCGCATTTCCCTTTCAACGTACGGATCCGTGGGGTCCAAGTCCGCAGCCGCCATGTGCAGGAGGTTTTTGACGTCTTGATAGGTCAGTTTCGAACTGGTCTCCCTCAATCCCTGCGATCGCTTGTACCATTTGCACTGCTTCATTCGCTTTTGTAGTAGGTCGAGCTGTTGCAACTCGATTCGCAAGGAGCTGCCTTCGTTTATCAACGTTTCTAGCTCACTCTCCTCCAGGGCCTCCAGCGTCAGCTGCAGCTGGTTCTCGGACCGGTCCACGAACTGTTTTCCCAAAACAAGGAGCTCTCGCACTGATGCGCCTTCGTCAATGATGCAGCAGAGATTATCGATTTCCTGTACGAACAACTCAAGCTCCTCCATTGTAAGCTTGTACTGAGCCGCCTCTTGGTTGTGGTCCGATCGAGTTCGTACCTAAGGGTTAAATATCGAAAAAATATTAATAATTATTGATAACACAGGTCGTCAAGATCAGGATTTTTTTTGAAAGGATTTCAGCTGTAGATTACTTCCTCATACTTGGAATCTTTTCATCACGTCACAGTTCTGAGAAATCGGTGGTCAAAGTTCCAAACTTTCGATTTATAGGCAGTTTTTGTGGCCTAATAAAAACTAAACTTTTTGTAGCCCAAAGTCACAATTTGGTGGAAATGGTACTAATCTCTAAGTTGGGCGCCCTCTACTTCTTAAGTTAGTCTAGAGGGGCCTGTGCCCCAAAAATCGCGAAAAAATTACCCTCGATGGACCGCGATTTCTAAAGAATTTACGTGCAGAAGATTATCGGAGGAAATGCTCTCTTGCAGTTGGACTTTTAAGTTGCGTGTTTTGCTATAAAAGAAAAAGTAACATTTTCTTCGATTTTGAGGTCTTTTGCTACCGTTACTCAGCTAATGAATGTGCGAGGGACCATGCAGCAAATCGACTGCGTAACTTTTTTAATGAATGGTCCGAAAGGGTCTTATAAATAGTTGCAGTTAAATAGAAAAAGAATACTAACCTTATTGATACCCAGCTGCTGTATTACTGTGACACATTTCTCCGCCTCGACGGCAGCCGCGTTGAGGCGATCAATTAGCAGCGATGAGGGAAACTTCTTAGTCTCTGCCTCCTTGCACAAATCTTGCAGCTCCTGTAGGGTTACCGAGGTGGGCGTATGTGCATCGACGATGTCACGACAACGCGAAAGCCAGCGCTCAAAACTGTGCGCCTTGACCTTTAGTTTCTGCAGCATTAGCGGCATCTCGTCCAATGTGTAGCGATATATTAAGGTGTGTTTCTCAGGAGCACAGCCACAAAGCACTGTATAGTGGCGGAGACAAACAATAAGCTTGTCATTGCACTCACAGGCTACCGCCGAAAGGAAGCATGTAGTATTGCACTCCTGGCAATGGCGCTCGTCGTCGCTAACTAGCTCAAAGGCGCGTCGTTCGGCGCGCGTTACGCCCCACTCCAAAAGTGATTTTCGCAGTTTCTTTTCCGTATCCACCATCTCGGCCATGTCGATGTAACAGGCTGTAGCGATCCCAAAAGTAAGCTTGGCTGGCTCCAGGGCCATCTTGCAAACGAGCTCGTCGTGCGAGAACACGCAAAAGCGCCGAAGCATAGAATAGTGGTTAACACACTCTCGCCCCATCTTCAGCCAATCTGCGGGTGCAAAGTTGACGGCTTCGGCAAAGTTATACCCCTGGTTAAAGCCTGCGTGATATGCCCGAGGGAAGGTAATTACAAACTCGCCGGCGTGCTGATCAGTGCGGAACACCGGCACGCGGTTGTTCATCAGGATGTTGGGGTTCATAATAGTCACCAACTGGTGAAGCAGATCGGGCTGCGATGAAAATAGTTCAGGGGCTGCCTGCTTCATGGTCTCTTCAAACTGCTCTGCACAGGACCCCGGAACACCATACCAGGTTTTTGGTTCTCCCCAGTGAAGATAGTTGATCGAATAGCTCCAGTGGTCTTCATTGTGCCAGCAGAAGGCGGCAAAGCACATGCCCACGTACATCCACGGTGCGTTCATTCCGCTTATGTCGGCGTTGATGTGGCCCAGAATGGAATCCTCCAGCAATGGCAAATTGTTGAGGTTCCAGCTTGATTCCGCATACTCCTGGTCGCCAGGTAGCAAATATAAAGAGCTCTTGGTGGGAAACCCGGAGCCGTGATCCATTGTGTGTAAATCCGCCCCATACTCGACGGTAACGTCTTCATCAATAGAAGATACGATGCGCCAAAATTCGCGCTCCACCATCTCGGTGGGCACCAAGTGTACCGGCTTTCGAAAATATTCCTGCTTGAACTGATCCGCCATCTGCCCAAACTGCTGCAGAGTATATTCTCTCTCTGCCTGCTCAAATCCAAATGCCTCCTGCGGTTTGCTTACCTCCTCGACAACGCAGCGCGGGCAAAGCCATTCGCCTAGATCAAATGAAAAATATAAAATTTGTATAGCAATCGACATAAAAGCACAATAAAAACGGTCGAGTTTTCCGACCTTGGGATAATCGCTAATCACTGAATTGATAAAAGTGTGTATAATAAAAAACGTATAATTAAAATTGTGGCATATTGTGGCATTCTTCAAAAGAAATGTTAATTTTTTTTCAGAAAACATTTTTTTTTAGGAAAATGTAGTCAATTCTTTATTTTTGGTTTGAGGATATCCGGGATTAAAATATTTTCTATTTAAATACAAATTAAAATTAATTTTTTTTAAATAACTTTTATATATTCCTTTCTATTTTGGCTAAAATGAGACAGGGTTGTCCTGGTACCTGGAACCATTGATTATACTCTTGAAGGGGTATTACAATTTCAGTTAGATGTTTGCAACGCAGTTAAGGAGACTTTTCCGACCACACATTTCAGCCGGGCGCCAACTTCAAGTTTCATTAAAAATGAATTTTTTTTTTGCTTAAACAAACCCAAGAATGTACCCTCGTGAACTACAGTTAAAAATAATGTCTTAATTAATTTGACAGTCAAAAAACAAATTTTTTAATTTCTAATGTTTGAGAACCTAAAGATCTTACTATTGTCACATAAGTAACAATCGCTTAGGATGGTTTAAATCGGTTTTCTTAACTTTGAAACAGAAATCTCATCCAATCAACAAACATAACGGATTTTACTTTACTTTTTATTATAACTAAATATATATTTAATAACAGGAGTTTGGCATGAATAACATGCTGTGATTCTAGAATTATAATACATTCCTGGTTTTTAGATATTTAAAAATTAAAGTCTTACCTTTGGGTATGCTAGTCAGAGGCGGCAGCAGACAGAAGGTATGGTAGCTGTCGTCGCAGCCGTCGCAGAGCAGCATCGACTCCTCGACGTCGCCGCGGTTGCAGATGTGACAAATGTACTTCATCAGCGGGTCAACAATAAGAGCCGGAGGCTCAACGCCTTTCTTTTGGCTGGAGCCGCGAGTGATGGCAGGGGCGCCTGTGGCTAATGGCTGACCGCCACTGTTCACGGCATTGAAGCTGCTGAGCAAATCCCTCTTGAACTCCTCCTTGGACTCGGTCTTGACGAACACTCCAGCAGACGGTTTTGCCGAGGGTGTGACGCCGCTAAGACCACAGCTGGCACTGGAGTTTCCGAAACGCTTGGAGCGGCGAGTGTTTGTCTCGTTGGGCGGCGCTATTTGCTGCCGTGTGGGTATCTCGTGTGCCTTGTAGTCGGTACCGCCTCCATCCTCTAGCTTCACGGGTGTGCCACTAGCTCCAGCTGACGCTGGTGTGGGTCCTAGAACTTTTCCTGAGGTGTATACCTCAAAAGGGTGCAGGATGCGTTCATAGTGCGCCTTTAGGGTGGCGCCCACGCTCTTGCTGGAGGGGTACTGCATCCGGTTGGCCACCTTTGCCCACTTTCTGTCCTTTGTGGTTTGCTCCATGCCTCCTTCCTCCTGCACGATTCGGTGCAGTGTGTACAAGTCCAGGGCCTTGCGCTCCACCATAGGGATTTTAAGAGAGGATCCCTGTAGCTCCCAGAATTTTGCGATCTGGTCGAGAAAGTTAAGTTTAACGCGCGTTTTGGCCTCCAGTTCATTGAGTCGTTGGACGCGTGGCACGAAGCGTAGCTTATCCACGTCCACTGCAAATGGTGGCGACCAGGTGGCCGGCGGTAGGATCTTTGCGATACCGCATTTCTCAGCTATGGATCGTATTTTACTGATGTAGGCCAGTGGGTTTTTGAACTCCTCAACTGTGGGCCGGAACACGGGGCACTCTGGCGGCGTGTCGAAGTGGAACTCTTCGTTCTTTCCCTGGTCAAACTTGTTGCTGCTGTGCGGCTGCGTGTGCACAGTCTTTTTGTGCCCGGTAGGCGCAGGCGTGGGAGTGGGATGAGGGCAGCTGTTGTGGTACTTCTTGCTAGCGGACACGCTGCTGCTGGCGTGGTTCATTGGAACGCTGGGCATCGGTCGTTCTACCACCGCCGGGGAAGTGGATGGCGGAGCTTGGGCATGAGATCCTGTTGCTCCTGACGGGGTGACTGGGGTAGACGGTTCATCGCTAGCGCCAGTCTTTTTAACGGACTCGCTTCCGCTAGTTGTTCCGTTGCCTGTCGAGTTGCGGGTGCGTAGGCGTCGTGCCGGAGTGGCTGTTCCGTTTGCGGATGCGACGCCGGCAGAGGATGCGCCGCTGACGACTCCTCCGCCTCCGACGCCGCAGTTGGCGGCCGTCGTGTTGTCCGCCTCGGTCTTGGCGGACATGGCTTTAAGATGAGTATAGATTCGATTTATTGGCCTCTGATCTGAAAAGGAAAAGAATAGTTAGGACTAAAGTTTTAAGTACTTTTAACTACTATTAAATGCGCTTCGGAGCTCTCAAGGGTTTATTATTGAGTGAGTCATTTAAACTTAGAATAATCGGCACCATAATTATGACCGTTTGACTTTTAAATCAAAGAATGCGTTTTGTAAGTACACATCTATATCTTTAATTTCCCTACATTAGAACTACCCTCTACAAGTCCAACAATTTGAGATTAGTTGGCATCAAAGTTGCACTTTATAGCACTTGCATTGATCTAAACTGGAACCTGTGTGACCCACAGTATCTACATCAAATCGCCACACACCTGTGTGTGTATATGTGTCGGTGCCTGCACCCAACACTCGCAGGTAAACAAACAATTAGGAAGGTGAAAAAAGGACTTCGCTTCGGGGCAAGTGTAGTGGTAGTAGTATACTGGAGTATAATGTTTTATTCAGTGCTGGCGGGATCGAAGAATAGGGGATTGGACTAGACTAGGTGCAATAATGCCCATCTACATTTGGGGGATGTGGTTCTCCCAGAGAGAGAGAGAGAGAGTGCATCTGCCATTAGCAGTACTGAATTTGTTGCATACAAAAGTGGAGCAAGGCAATCACAACCCCGGACACGAATACGGGGGATTGCCTTGGAGTGTGTATGTATATCATAGCGACCAATAAACTTACAATTTCAAAAGGAACATTTAGATATGTATGTACATACACACATTTAGTGTGTACAGTGGGATGAAGTATAGTATTGAAACCATTTGGCAAACAGGACTTCTGTTATCTTCCAAAATTCAGCTGACGAAATCCCGAAGCGGAGACATGTTGAAAATAGTTGTCAGCTTCAAGTTTTGGTTAGAGTTTCAAACTGATTTTTTACCTTTGCCAGCTAGACAAAAGGAAGCCGCCGGCACTGAGCTGTGCTTTGGTGGTTGTTAAAGTATATACACACACAATCTCGCACAAATGTGGGGCGCCACTACCACCACCGAAAAGGGAGTAAAAGTGGGTGGGCACTGGGGCGGTTGTGTGTATAGTTCCCGTGTGCTTTGCTTGATCAGGAAGAGCCCGCACTCTCCTAGAGAGAGCGAGATGAGAGACGAGTACCGTTTTTGTGTATCAAGTGAGCAAAGTACAACGACGGCGACGTCGGCAGCGACGAGGCGAAGGCATGCTGCACTGCTCGGGATAATATTTCCTTTCCCCCCTTGATTTACAATTAATGTCGGGGGATTCGTTTCGGTTGGGGATTATTGATTGTTGTGCGTGGCGTGCCAACTGTCGTGCTCGGAACTGCACAAAATGTTTAAGGTTTATTGGGAAACTAATTTTCCATCTGCGGTTTGTCGATCGGAAAAGCAGCCTAAGCCGAAAGCTTTTTATATAATTTTCATTTTCAGCCGTACACACACACAGGCACGCAGCTTACACACAGTTACAAACAAACGCTTACACGTACAAACACAGGTACGCGAATACAAGAACACATTCGAATCGAGCATGTACATAAATATGGATAGTTTTGGCGAAATTAGCACTCAATATTGGTAACTTTTGAGCAGGAGCAGACAAACGACGACGATTTAACTTTTACTAATTTGCCCTGCCATATTGCACATTTCCAGCGGGAGAGAGGGGAATGCGAAAGCTAAGCGTTTGGAAGGTAAATGCAGCACTGTACTTTTCGAAAACTAACTGCCCGACTTATGTACATTTATATTGCTCCACGAAAGAATTTGTCAATGTTTTCAAAACGTGGGATCACAGTATTTTTCGCTATGATGGCGACCGGGCAGCAACGCAACGCACTTTGCTGCGCTGCCGCTGCTCTGCTGGCATATGCATTTCGTGTGCCAGATTCTCACCACCTATGTGTGCAGTTTCCTTTATTTTCAACCGTACTCCGCGGTGTAGTTCCTAACCTAACTGGGGTCAGGAATTGGTTTTTCGACCGATTTTCACTTTTATTACGGATTTTCGGACGTCAATTGAGCTGCGAGCAGCACACATACAAACATTTTCCACGACTAGTGCAGGGGGTTGTTTTTCGCGTTGTCCATTGCAGAGCCTGCAATCTGCATTAGGCGCTTTTCCTGCCTTCTTTTCCTAAGATTCAGGCCGTTGGCCAGCTGGGTGACTACTTTTCGTTGGTTTTTCGCTGCTAATTAAACATTTTCAGCCATCAAAAGTGCCCCAAACTCACACACTCACACACACTCGCACTAACTCGGTTATTGGGTACTCTACACTGGGCAAAAACTCACTGTCTTCATAGGAAGTTCGGGCCGCGCACGCTTGCAGTGTGATCGAAATAAAACCATAAAACCACCGAGCACGGCACTTTCCAACTAGTTTTAATACGAATTTACTTTTCTGATTTCTTTCTCGATGTCTGCTTTTTTTCTGCTACATGTGTCCAATGTGACCCGTCGTTAAAGTACTGAAAACGCCGCCCTGCCCGCACACAAAGATCGGAAAATACCAAGTTTCATTGATGTTGTGCAGCACTGGCAATTAAATTTATATTTTAAGCCTAGTACTCAGTACGACGAAAACTGCTAGCTAAGCATAGGAGTAAGCGAGAGGCAAATAGGTAGCTAAAGCCCTTAGCCGGGGACTTTTTCCCACCTCGGTACTCAGTTGAGCTAAGGAAATAGTAAGAAAATACCACTAAAATACTAGATTTAGCGGATGAATTCTGATGAACGCCGTTAGCCGCGGCCCAAAGAATAAAAAATTTGATCTTTGGCTGTGTTTGTGCAGAAGCGGTGTGCCAATAACATATTATAAATAGAATGAAAACCCCAAAAACCAATGGAAAACTGCCTGTAGGAGTTGCAGCAATACATATCCTCATTCCAACAGCAAATTTAAAGCTTGCGACCGAGGTCGGCTAATCATTTTGTAATATTTCAAAATTGGCGCCAGTTGATTTGTTTGCTGAGAGTAAGACCATGCTACATGCATTGCGGATGAACTCCAAAAACTTCGGTCACACTAAATGATTAATATTTTTCGACTAGTGAAACTCTTAGCCGAACTGAGTACTAGGCTTTAAGATCAGCTGATCGAATGGGGAAAAAAACAAAGAAAATCTATATATATATATATATATATAATATTGCTAGAGAAACTACACCTTATAAATCACGTTGGTCCCTCCGCATTTGCAAAAGAAAAATACTGGTTTTTTGATGAAAAATATATCTGAGTTGCCTTGAATTTTTAACATTTGTATGGACGCAAAAAAGTTATGAATCGTTTGGGCTGTACATAGTCAATGGGTCAAACAGGGGTGTCACAGAAATCTCTTCCAACCGAAAACTGTTGGATTTGGATTTCGGTTGGAAATAATTTCTGTGACACCCCCGAATATGCCTAAAACCACGTTTGACACCACGCATTTGCAAAATAATGTTTCACAATATAGCCTAGTACTCAGTTCGGCTAAGAGTTTTACTAGTCGAAAAATATAAATATTTTAGGGTGACCGAAGTTTTCGGAGTTCATCCGCAATGCATGTAGAATGGTCTTACTCTCAGCAAGCAAATTAACTGGCGCCAATTTTGAAATATTACAAAATGATTAGCCGACCTAGGTCGCAAGCTTTAAATTTGCTGTTGGAATGAGGATATATATTGCTGCAACTCCTACAGGCAGTTTTCCATTGGTTTTTGGGGTTTTCATTCTATTTATAATATGTTATTGGCACACCGCTTCTGCACAAACACAGCCAAAGATCAAATTTTTTATTCTTTGGGCCGTGGCTAAAGGCGTTCATCAGAATTCATCCGCTAAATCTAGTATTTTAGTGGTATTTTCTTACCTTTCCTTAGCTCAACTGAGTACCGAGGTGGGAAAAAGTCCCCGGATAAGGGCTTTAGCTACCTATTTGCCTCTCGCTTACTCCTATGCTTAGCTAGCAGTTTTCGTCGTACTGAGTACTAGGCTTATAAGCCACTAAAGCCACTATGTATTGCAGCAAATCCTACAGGCGGTTTTCCATTGGTTTTTGTGGTTTTCCTTCCAAGCTTGCAACCCAGGACGGCTCAACGTTTGTAATATTTTAAAATTCGCGCCAGTTGATGTTTGCTGTTTGTCAACTGATTGAGAGTAAGACCATGCTACATGCATTGCGGATGAAAGCCTAGTACTCAGTTCGGCTAAGAGTTTTACTAGTCGAAAAATATTAATTTTTTAGTGTGACCGAAGTTTTCGGATTTCATCCGCAATGCATGTAGCATGGTCTTACTCTCAGCAAACAAATCAACTGGCGCCAATTTTAAAATATTACAAAACGTTGAGCCGACCTGGGTCGCAAGCTTTAAATTCCCTGTTGGAATGGCGATATGTATTGCAGCAACTGCTACAGGCAGTTTTCCATTGGTTTTTGTGGTTTTCCTTCCATTTATACATTGTTATTGGCAAACCGCTTCAGCACAAACACAGCCAAAGATCAAATTTTTTATTCTTTGGGCCGCGGCTAAAGGCGTTCATCGGAATTCATCCGCTAAATCTAGTATTTTTTGGTATTTCCTTACCATTTCCTTAGCTCAACTGAGTACCGCTGTGAAAAAAGTCCCCGGCTAAAGGCTTTAGCTACCTATTTGCCTCTCGCTTACTCCTATGCTTAGCTAGCAGTTTTCGTCGTACTGAGTACTAGGCTTAAGTCATGAAGTAACTGTTATTTCAGACTTTGGGTGATCTTCCGTTTAGCTCCTACGCCCAAATTTGTTCATACTTTTCAAATCGACGTGTTTTTGGGTCCTGATTACGGGAAAAATAGTCAAAGTTTTCTTACAGTTTCACAAGGTTTGAAAATAAAAAACCGTTGGAGATGTGTCGATAATGATATCGATGTCACTTGATGATATAGTGATAGTACGACAAAAGCACAAGAACGGCAATAACGGCGATTTTTGTTTAAAAAAAAATTTGCCTCTTGCGCACTACCTCTTCGCCCACTGACAAAAATATTCAATTTTGAGGTCTTCCCATTTCAAGCTCTAAATCAGCGGTCGGCAGCGTCCTGTTAAGTGAGAATAGGAAATTGATCTGCTCATCCTCTGCCTCTCACTTCTACAGTACAACAGCGGTCTGCACTGATAACACAGGTCGACAAAATCAAGACTTTTTCTTGGCCCAAGAATAAACGCTACAAAACCTGAAAGAATGTTAGCTGTAGATTACTACCTCATCCTTGGAAACTTTCCAACACGTCGAAGTTTTTAGAAATCCGTGGTCAAAGTTCCAAATTTTCGATTTTTAGGCACTTTTTGCGGCTTAATAGTAAGAAAACCTTTCGTAGCCCAGAGCAACAATTTAGAGGAACTGGTACCTTGAACCTTTAACTTCAAGATTGTCCAATCACAAAGTTGGGCGACCTCTACTTCTTTAGCTACAATCGATTTTACAGAAGTACTTTTTGTTACTTTTTATACCCTTGTAGAGGGTATTATAATTTCAGTCAGATGTTTGCAACGCAGTGAAGGAGACGTTTCCGACCACATAAAGTATATATATTCTTGATCAGCACCAATAGACGAGTCTATCTAGCCATGTCCGTCTGTCCGTCTGTCCGTCTGTCCGTTTCTATGCGAACTAGTCTCTCAGTTTTAAAGCTATCGCGATGAAACTTTCCCGAAGGTCTTCTTGCTATTGCAGGTAGTACATATGTCGGAGCCAGCCGGATCGGACCACTATATCTTAAGGCTCCCAATCAAATATAAGAAAATTCATTGTAACTTTGTAGGAAGTAGGCGTTTTGATTCTTGACTACTTAAAAACAAAATTGAAATAAATCGAAACGCTGAATCTGGAATCCCTGGAACTGCACCGAGTGAGTATTCTTTTATCTACAAGGGTATATAAGCTTCGGCTGGCCGAAGGTAGCTTCCTTTCTTGTTTTCATCTATAGTAGCCTGATATTTTCCTTGTTGAACTGAGACCCGTACACATTCAATACATTACAAATATCAGGCTACTATAGATGAAAAAAAGTGACAAAAAGTACTTCAGTAAAATCCATTGTAGCTAAAGAAGTAGAGGTCGCCCAACTTTGTGATTGGACAATCTTGAAGTTAAAGGTTCAAAGTACCTTTTCCGCTAAATTGTGGCTCTGGGCTGCGAAGGGTTTTTTTTTACTATTAAGCCGCAAAAAGTGCCTAAAAATCGAAAATTTGGAACTTTGACCACGGATTTCTAAAAACTTCGACGTGTTGGAAAGTTTCCAAGGATGAGGTAGTAATCTACAGCTAAAATCCTTTCAGGTTTGGTAGCTTTTATTCTTGGGCTTTTTTTTTGTCGACCAGTGTAAGCTGCCCCGTGCAATTTTTTCACACAAATATAAAACAAGATGTAATTGTATTTGTGTACCGACCGCTGCTCTAATAGCCTCTTCCCATAGAGTCCATCCGTGTGAAACGGTTGGGATTTTTGACAAATGTGAAATTCGTGTCCCCATAGAGTTTCCATCCACATCTACATACATCCAATAACAGCTGACTGAGGAGCAGTTGCTCAGCTCAACATTAACGAAGGGGGATTTCAACTCGGGAAAACTGTCGTTAAATTGCGTTCTCCTAATTTTATTGTAGAATAATACAATAAATAGATTAAGAAAATAGTTTAAAAACATATCTGAACGTTTATAACATATCCTCCAACGAGTATGCATAGGGGAGAGTGGGGGAATTTCGTCAGCATTTTTTCAAAGCTATTTATTGTCCATCTTGAGACACGTTATCATATTTCTATTTTTATTGTTGAATGCGGTTAGCACTAAGCTTTAAAATGTGACATTCCCCTATTTTTTTAATTAACTTGGTGATTTATAAAAAATTAAAAAGTAAAACCAATATACTGGGGCAATCTCACTACATAGGGGGGTAAAATCACCACACAACTGGGGAAATTTCGTCACCTGAAAAATGTAGGGAACTTTACGCCTGTAAGTATGCTACACAGATCAAGCGTACCATTTTTGTTGACGTCCTATATTTGTTGCTGCTGCTGGTAGTCTGTTCGTTAGCCAGATCGTCAAATATAAAAATATGTATTTAAAATAGGTGCGAATTTACCCTTAGCGTAGGGTGGCGAAATTTCCCCAGACCGTACTTTTCTAGATATAATTATTTTTCTTCCGAAATTAGGCGCGAAGTTAAAAATCACTAACGCAGAAATGCACATTATAGCACTGTGTATTATATAAAAAATCGTGTATTTTATTGCTTTTGAATTGTGGCATACAGAAAAAATTTCGTCGAGAACTAAATGTAGCTTTTGAGCTGTTAAAACACATTTAATATTATAGCTTAATTATCTTGGCCTTCTGTGCAAAACAAATGCATTGGTTGTGTCTGGCCGTCTTGAAGGACTAAAACAAAAAAATTATATATTTTTACGACTTATGGATTCTGAGATATTGCTGGTGACGAAATTGCCCCTG